AGTGACATCTTTTCAGAAATGATTGATCAATAAGGATGTCCAATATAAGATTTTTATCTTGAATGATTTTCTTACCTGCCTATATTACTAATACAGGTGAGGTTTGAAAGCGCGAATGTAGCGTTATTTTCGCATATGCAAGAAAATAGATACCGAATAGAGATAACTAAATTATTTGATAGTTCCCTTTTTCTCAATGAAAATTAACCTCAAGACAAACGTAATATATATGTATTACGTGCTTTGGCAGTGGAGTTTCATAATCCCTAGCGACTTTCCGCTCGACATGGCGATGGAATTTCCGCTCGAGTGTCGGCAACATCGTCTGTTTACATTAGCAGCTGTCGACTGTACGAACCGCGAGAGCCGAGGAAAAACCTCCTCTGTTCACTGGAAAGAGAGAAGAAAGGAAGACATTGCCTCGAGGGATTGTTTAAGATACTGCAAAGGCTCTGTAAACCGTAGGAGAGCTATCGTTGTTGCTTAATTCCTTGCGTGAGAAGGGCGTGATACCGCACGTGGTGTAAGTGCAAGATCAACAGTATCGGCCGTGATGGAAGTGTGAGTGAAGCGTCTTTCAATTTGCTGGGTTTTATTGTGGTTTTAATTGTTTTCTAAGTCCTGTTCATCCCTAAGATATTTGTAAGTGTTGAGTAGTTTGATTCATCTCATTTCGTCGTCGGAATGATGAGTGTATGAGTAATGGCGTATAGAAATTATTAATGCAGACTGCTCAGAATATCTTGGAGATGATCGAGAGAAATCGGTGGTTCAAACATATAAAGAGTCATTTTCAGAGAATGGACTTCCTTAAATATTTGATACTTACATTGTTAGACACTTGGTAAAATTTCATAATGTGTTGTTTAAACCAAAATTACTATACACTGCCAATGTATTCGGGAAGTATACAGGTCTGATTGTTTTTTGGATGCATATGTTGAGAATAGGGACCTTCAGCTGAGAGTATTTTGCATAATGAGAAAAAGTTTCTAGCATATTGTCTGTCATGCGCAGTAATAATGAGCTTAAGTCACTAATCGTACATCATGAAAACTCTTTACTTAGAATCTTGGGTTTGTTGGCATCGCAGAAATTGAAGAAGTGAATGATGGAGCAGGAAATACAGAGATATTCTCAATGAATACATGAGTAGTGGGAGTGATTAAGAGACATATATTAAAGAAATTAATACAGGCTGTGAAATTATGGGAGTTGTTCACTTATATTCTATTTATATATGATAAATAGAGTAATGGATGATTCTGTAGCCTAGACGTGAATGTTATTATAAGATATAAATTCATAGTCATCAAGCTCACTCTTTTGATGAGGTTTGTGATAAAGTGGGCAAGATATTCATGACCTCATATTTTGGCCATATGGTACCTGACAATATGAATGATAATGGACTTTAGGGATTAACCCTATGATGACGGGGCCAGATTAGTTTTTGATGTAATATTACACGTCTAAACTTTGTGGCTAGGTCTAAGCTGTGAACAGCCAGCCCACCTGCTGTTAGTCATGACACGTTTACATGTCAACGGCTATAGTCATCACAGGAATTAATAACCAATAGTGGTTTATAGATTATCTTTAGTGCACATAATATTTCTGCTTGGAGACTTGTTTAAGCAGTGGCTTTCGCCTTTCTACCCTTGTGACCTCTTGACATAGTTTTCATGCCAAGGAAAATAAGATATTCAATAATGTGTCCAAGCTTTATGAACTGATTGTAATATAGTATTCCATGAAGTCATGTCTTCACTGTTTAATTTTGATATAATTACTGATTAATGCTCAGCAAATTGGATAATATTTTTCTCCCAAGCCTTCACAACCTATTTGTTATCCCTCGACCATCTCAATGAGGGTTGCAACCAGTTGGGAACCAGTGATATAGAACATATAAGTAATTTGCATAAGGATGAAAGATCTAACAGCAGCTCATTACTGAACAATACATGGGAACTACAAAGCAGTTGTTCTTTTGGATTTGCAAGTAATTTCACTTCCAAACATACATAGTATATACAAGGAATCAGTAGACTGATTAATTATATTAGTTTAATTGATACATGGAAGCAATAAAAAGGACCTGCCCATCATCACTATGACCATTATGTATTTAATTCCTTGTAGTTCATCATCAAGTACAGAACCATGCTTGATTTGTTATAGTTACGTCAATTTTCTCGAAGTGTTAATATCACGAGTATTTGATTGTGTATACATGTTCAAATTTTGTATCAAAGCCTATCAGGGAAGCTCCTCAAACTAAGCTATTAGTTTTAAAGGTCAAGTATTATTTTGTTTTTTAAAATGTTTATCACTTATGGATAACAATAAACTCTTATTTTACTGAAATGAGTTTCAAGGAACTGAAATTTCACTAAAAAAGTGGTTATGTTAAACTAAGAGTGGGGATTTGTGATAAAGAGAAATATCTGCATGGAGCTCATCATTATATTAACCCATGAGTGCTAGGTACATGCACTGACCCCAGTGATTTGGTTTTATTGATATTGCTTCAGAGTAAATTACTAAGCCCATTTGATATTACTCTGTTTACCTGATTTCTTGATTTTTTGTGATTAAAAAAATGTATATATTACTACTATTATTACTGTTGATGTTTTATTGTCATTATTATAATAATAAGAGTATTGGAAATAAGTTTAGTGTCTGTGCTTGTTAACATATAAACACACTGTATTTGTGGATATAGAAAAAATATAGGTAGAATAAAATGTCTTTTTTTCTAAAACTTATTGATTACCAGTTTTAGTACAGTTTAAAATACATTGTGTGCTCAAAGGCTTGAGTGGGCTAAGGCAGCTGAGTGCTGATCTAGTGTTCAGGAATTTAAGACTCTGGTGCAATGAGTGATTAGGACCCCAGCCATTCCTCATAAACAGGGAGAGGATAACTTATAGACTCTGTAGGTAGAAACTATACATCATTTGACTTGGGGTCCCATTATTATTATTAAAACTACAGGATTCTATATTATCTTATTAATCTTTAGGTCAATAATATAATCAGAAAAAGAGTGAGGTTCATTTGTAAAAGATTTGTATCTCTTTCTATAACATGTGTGTATTATCTTTTGCAGGTTAAATTGTAAGGAGCTGTCCTGAGCAACTGTGAGGTCTATGCTCTCCTGCAGGATCTGTGTAGGCAAGAGAAAGGCAGAAAAAGTATGATGAAAACACAAGCAGACCTTGCCAACATTGCATTTGAAGTATGGATGTGTTTTGGTTTTATTTAGTTGAAGTGATACAATAGGATTATGAAAAGAAAAAGTAGATGGAAATAATGTATAAAAAAATAATCTTTGATTTCAATGTTATATTTAATTTTATGTCAGTTTTTTTTGCTAAGATTTCAAAAGGTTTCTGATATTGTTTGTAAACAGTAAATACGTAAGATGTAACGTATATAAAAACATAATATTTATGAGATATTATTTTTCAGACCATGAAATATCTTGAAAAGACGGCCTGTAGAAATCAAAATGCTGAAGTAATACAAGGTTTCCTACAAGCTGTGAAAGAATTCAAACTCACAAAAGCCGAGAAATTACAGTTGATCAACTTACGGCCAACAACACCAGTGGAAATGCAGCTTGTGAGTAATCTGTGCATAAATTTAACACTATAATCCCATAATATAGTACTTTCTACCATTTGTATAATATTGTGTTATATACTTTTGTGAGTAAAAATTCCCTTGAGAATTGATATTGTCACAGCACGTTGAAATTTTTACACAAATACTAAAGCATACACAGAATGTCTAGATTATAAAATGTATCCTTTTCTCTTCTTCTTTAGATAATTGAAGACAGTGAAGAGAGACTAAGTGAAGAACAAGTTGAAGAGTTAATTGGGCTGTAGAGCTCCACTTGCCAGATATTGACAACCCGCAAACATTAGTAAACGGTACACCAGGGAAATAGTAGTTGTTGTCCCTTTTTTTAAACTTTATTATTGTTATAATTTTTTGGATGGATATATAGCCAGTATAAGGAGCATAGGATGTTATCACGTTTAATTTATTTAATGGACTAGCTGTTACCAAAACAGATTATTTGGTCGTACATGGATGTTTACGGAGGAGGTATTTTGGAAGTAAGGGAGATTAGGAGAATAAAGAAGAGAAATTGTTTTATAATCTTTTGGAGTTGTAGAAATGTCTCAATAGTATTTGCTTTATTTTTTTTTTTTTTTATGTATACCACTCTTCCAAGCAAATATTATCTACGACTTATCATTGTTACAGTTTTGCATGTGATGTAGAATACTGTATTTTTATTTTGTCAAGGGATTATTTAATATTTTATACATTGATCAGCATATGACGACTAGCAAGATGCTGCATATGCAGGGCCTTTGGCATAAGGCACAAAATGAATACTCACTACCATTAAAGACTAGTGATATATGTATGATTTGTATATTTACCCCAAACATTCTTTCCTTTTCTGACACGGAAAAATGTACATTCCAGTGATGAGGTATTTCCCTTTTTTAAGAAACATATACCCTGAAATTTAAATTAATATGACTATTTAAGTAGCATTGTTTTCAGAAGCCATAACTACTAGATACTTCCTTGCCAACTTGTTAGTGAATAATTATTAATAATATTAGTGGTGCTCTACTGTGATGAAGATTTCTCCAGATCTTAAAAAAAGCTTACAATAATCCATCTCCTACATCCTTTCTTCCAACCTAAATTTATGGGAAGAAACAAGAAGTTTTGCAATTTCTTTTCATCAAAAACACCCCTCTCATTCACACAGATAGACATTATTGAAAGTTGTTTGTATAAGCACACACATACATTCATAAACTACTGGACTATGAAAGTGAATACCAAATCCTATAAAAAGACTAACATACCTTCACCCTATGACGCCACACAAGTATCGAAGGTGATCTGAATATGATCGTTTTTTTCTTTATTACTGAATAGGATAAATAAATGTGATCATAACTTTAAGTTTATTAAGACAGAACTGAGTACATAATCAATGATAACATGGCAAATTCTTCTGTGTGCAAAGGAGGAAGAAAATTAATGTCAAACAATTTCTAAAAAAAACAAAAAAATAATAATAATGGTTATTTGTCTGGTTTCAAGGATCTCCTATATTATCAGCTGAATATTTAATAACTGCTGATGAGTACTAAAGAAAAAAGGAAAAGAAAAGGAATACTAGAAGAAAAGTCCTCGCATACGACGTCCCATTGCCAATCTCTCGTGTAGGAGGTTGAATCGGTTGATAAAACGGTTCATGGTATTACAGCATTTGGTGATAGTTCCTAGGTAGGACATCAGCGCCACATCATTGCATTGCTGGAAAAGAAATTCATTTATAAACTACACGTCAGACACAGAAAAAAGAAAGAAAAAAAAATGTTCCACCAATAAGATTTCACATTCAGCTGTTTTAACTTCAATTATATTAATAATAATGTCATGGAACATTAAATGGACTCACATTATAGAATTCTCCCCTGAACTTCTCACTGTTGAGGACAGGTAGTCGATGAGCCAAAGCATTAACCTGACGTAAGATCTCGTGATTGAACTCTACCTCGCCTCGCTGACTAGCCTTAACATATTCAGCTATAAGACGCACTCTGCTGGCCAACATTTTTATCGCACTGTATTGTGCCTGCAAGTTCTCTGCCACTGCAATAAAAAATATATTTTTAGCAAATAAGCACCTGACAAAATGAACTACTTTGAATATTTTTCAACTTTTATCCGAAAACCAAATATCCACATACCTTCAGAAATCCCATAATATAAATAATACTACAATAATAAAAAGAAAATATTTTCAAGAAACTAACCAATTGAGCTCTCCTGTACATCATGTGAAGACATCCTCGCTACATGGTCAACACCTATGCGCTCCGCCTCTTCTGTTGCAAGGGTGTACTGCAGTTCAACCAAGAGCAAGGTGGGGACCCCATTCACAAGATCCAGAACGCTCTCGTAAATACTTACCGGTAGCTGTTGGGAAGCGAGCAAATATACATAAAGTATGATTCTCAGAAAAGAAGGAAAGATTAAATAATGCTTTGGTTTCTCCTTTGAATTTAATATAACAATATCCTGAAAATATTATATCTATTTTTCAACAACATGCAGCCTAAAAGAAAACAAAAGAAAAAACATGGGACAGTTCAAGAAGACACATATACTTTATATCATGATCTTGTTACAAACGACAGCACTGTGCAAATGGCAATACTTACATCAGTGTGCCGAGCCATGGGATTGAGCTTGAGGAATATCGGACTGTCTAGGAGGTCACAAATCTGCTTGTGAACCAGCAGGTCTGGGGGTCCTGGTGTGTCCCCAGTTGTATACCAGCCAAGGAGGTCAAGGTCACTGAATACTTGTTTATCTGTTATGAAGTAAAGATATTAAAACTTTTTTTTTTTTTTTTTTTTTTTTTTGGGGGGGGGGGGTTGAAGCAAAAATTTACTAACTGACAACAGGAGTGAATCTAAACATGCTATGGGTTTGTTTTATTGATTTTGTTTATATGCAGATGGCTTCAGGGGCACGTAGTCACCAAGGAGACAATTACTTGTCCGACTTAACCTCGTCTATTTACTCCCCTTTTTACATTCAAAAAAGTAGAGTTTGTTTTCAATATTGATAAAAGTATTATTTTCTTATTACTATTGCTATTATTATCATTATCATTATTATAACAATAATAATAATAACTATAACAACAACAACCAACAACAGTAATACCTAAAAACAATTACGCAAATAAACCCTTTCCCCATCCTGACCCCAAAGAAAAGAAAAAAAAAGAAAGAAAAAAGGAAAAATAAATATAGGGTAAACAGGCAAGATTAGGTAAGACTCATCATTGACTCCATGGTGGCTATGCACTTGTGAAGCCATCTCAGCGTAATCAAAATTCAAAAACAAATCTAAGAGTGGACAGTGTATATACTCTGGTGCCAAAGTGTTAATGAATAACAATAATTCTAAACCTATTCCAAATAATATTCATGTCTAACCCTCAAGAAAATCTTGCTGAGCTCTAACAAAATTCATGGACATTTTATGAACCAAGAGGCAGTCTAAAAATTCACCATTTATCTTGATGACCATCTGGCAAAAATGTAAGGAAACGGTATTATCAATACAGTGACATAAAGTTCTAGCTTCAAGAACTTAGTCTAAAACACTTTTACCATGCATCACAAGATCCAGATCGAATTACACATCAACGTTGACCATAACAGGTCACTAGAACGACTTACACTGCTCCTCTTTTAGAGTATAATATTCACGGTTGATGATGATGTTTCCGTCCAGCATGTCATAGCTCAGCTCAAAGGAATTCATTATCTCTACGTGACGACGACCGGTTTGTTTTCCAATCAAGGCTCCAAGCACTGAAAGAAATGTAATAAAGTGTTCTAGAAACACATGTCTTACACTTGGATCTTA